AGGAATGCATGAGAGGACTTGTTTACCTGAGCTAGGCAAAGTACCCTCTGACTGCTGGAGGTAGTTCTGCAGTGCAGTTAAAGCCTGAAGGTACAAGACACTTAAGATGGGAGCAAACCCATTTCTAGCTTTGAGACCCCTTGCTCCAAACTGCTGCCTGCTGCTTTGATAGAAAAATACTCTGTATTACTTCTCTGTCTAGTAGGAGTTCAGGCACACTCACTTCAGTTATGGTTTTGCTGCTTAGGCTGGATTAGGAAGAAACTTCTTAGGGGTATTAGATCACAGTATTAAGATGTACCTAGCTGTAAAACAAAACCACCTTCCTATCCATGTGTCACAGGACTGTTGGAGCTTTGAGCTGATAGGGTAGAGTAATCTTCTCCTGAAAGAACCAGCCTTAAATTCAGGACTATGTCAAGACAATTGGGGATAACACCAGCCTACCTGCCAGAGTGTGCTATGAGGAGACTGTCAAATCCTTAAGCAAAACTAAATCTAGTTGATTCTTATCTGTTCTTCCACTAACAGGCTGTGGTGGTGTAGCCATGGGAATGTACAATCTTGACCAGTCTATCAAGGATTTTGCCCACAGTTCCTTCCAAATGGCACTGTCTAAAGGTTGGCCCCTCTACATGAGCACCAAGAACACCATCCTGAAGAGATACGATGGCCGCTTTAAAGACATTTTCCAAGAGATCTATGACAGGTAAATAGGATGTTTGTGTACTTCCTACCACAGTGCATAAGTCTGCAGCAGGAACATCTTTTCCAGCCTTGTGAGCTGTACAGTTAATTCAGCATTTTCAGACACTCAGCAGCACTTTATGGGGGACTGCACCTTCCCTGTCACAGTCCCCCTTGTCCTGCAGGACATGGTACTCAAGGTCTAAAGCTCTGCTAAATGTGGCTGTGGCATTCATCTCTCCTAACAGAGAGTCACAGATTTTCTGTGGGCTCTTCTGTGATTCTGAATCAGGCTTGCAGTGGCCTAGCAAAACAAGCAAGGGGAAAAAAAAAAAAAAAAAACAAAGAGTAAAGAGTATGCAAATTTCTTTTAATTTTTTTTTCCCCCCACTCTTATCTCTGTGCACCTCACTATGCACAATTACTTGCACAAATTGTGCAATCCCTGTTTTTATATGACAAGGTGTTCTGGTTTTTGTTGTCCAGAGAATACAAGTCCCAGTTTGAAGCCAAAAAGATCTGGTATGAGCATAGGCTCATTGATGACATGGTTGCTCAGGCCCTGAAATCTGAAGGAGGCTTTGTCTGGGCCTGCAAGAACTACGATGGGGATGTGCAGTCTGACTCTGTTGCGCAAGGTATGGTTCTGGTTCTATCACTGCTGCTCTTTGTTCAGTTTCATTAATCTGGGTGCTTCTTACTATAATACCGTTCACATGGCATATAGCAACCATAGTAGTCATGACATACAGTATTAACATCATATAATTCAAATCATTGTCTATTGTCCCCTATAAATTGGCTCTTCGAGGAGAAAATGTAAAAAGTGTAATTATTAATAGTTTCCAAGAGATGGCTCCCAAAGTACAGAGATGACGGCAATGCTGAATACAAATACCACAATGATAACCTTGACCCAGCTCCCAGAGAGCTGTTTCCCAGACAGCACAATGGGAAACATATACAGCAAGTAAGGTGTCACAGAACACAACCCTATGTTTCCTGTGCTACCCTGAAGTAGGCTCAGTAGCAGTCTTTTGTGACCTCTGTCGTATCTTATGTAATGGCCCAGGAGGTGGTGTTGGGTCTCAGAACTTATATTTCAAACCTGCGGCCAATCATGGAGATACCAGGCAGGCAAAGAATTTCCAATTTCACTTTTACAAGAAAATCCATTGAATGTAGACTGTGTAGTTGCACTACTTTATCAGATGGCAGTTCCTACCAATATAATAACTGATAGGCTTTCCATTCTAATGGAAGGTAGCCAGAGAGCTTGGGATTCTGTCACTGACAGCTTGACTTAAGCTGACTGGCGGTAAGCATACTGGCAGGTGCTCTACAGCTAAGTAAGAAAACCTTCAGGACATAAAGCTACCTGTCAGGTGCGAAGGGAGAGACTTTACAGACTTGTAGTGCTTGATAAAAATCCTATATAACCAAGTTGCCTGGTGCCAAAACAAATACGGATGCAGAGACCCACAGAGCAAGATGTGTGGCTTCATGTAATATGCTCTTTCTAAAGTAATGCCAGTAAACTGCCTCCCACAGAACAAGCATATGTGTTGGACTACTGAACAAAGAAGTTTTCAAAGGCACAGATCTCTGAAACCTACAGGGTTAGAAGTGATGTGAATGTTCAGTTTTGCATGATTCCTTTCACTACAGCAGATGCTCTTGATATGAAGTAGGTTTGTTTTCTATCACCCCGTGGAGAAGATAGCAATTAGCATCCCAACAGTGCTTATTTAGGATTCTTTGTTCTCATATTGCACCTTTTCAGGAAAAATCTGTCCAGCAAGTTAGGTGAGAATACGAATTTTCTTGAAATGTTGCAGAACGTCTGCATATCTATAGCAGCACTTTCTGTTCAGATGAGCTGTTATTTTGACACGTCAGGACTAGCCAGTTAGTTGCAGTAGCAGCAGCCGCACTGCTGTTCAGGAATACTCCCATGAAGGCTGGGAGATGTAGGGGGATTGTAGGATGGGGGAATTAAGGGGGCTGTCTGAAGGAGACACTGAACTTTTTAAACTGTGTATTCTGTAGGCTATGGCTCTCTGGGGATGATGACCAGTGTGCTGATCTGCCCTGATGGCAAGACTGTTGAAGCAGAAGCTGCTCATGGCACAGTTACTCGTCACTATCGCATGCACCAGAAAGGCCAAGAAACCTCCACTAACCCCATTGGTGAGCTGCTTTTCACTGCCCTTCAGTGATCTCTGCACGTGAAAGAACAGGTTCGGAGTAAGAACATCTGCATCCTTTCTGCAGAGAATTACACCACTGAGTGGTGAAACTGGTAGTTCATAATGCATTTATTTTTCCATGGAGACAGCTGCAGCCTAGAGCAAACACAGGCTAGAAGGGAATGAGTGTGAGCAGTAAGCTAGACCTAACCTAGCATTTAAGACATGCTTTCACTCTTCAGCAAACAATGGGTTTATAGCCACAACAGCCTTAAGGTTTAGGTTGGTTGTCTTTTATTTTACTCCCTTCCTGATGCTCCAAAAGATGCAGCCACCCCCCAAACCATGTACATACTTAAATTGTAAGTGCACCATGAATGGAACATGAGGGAAAGAATCCCCTACAATTGCATAGGGACCAGAGTGTAATGTAGTATCAGGAAGACGACTGCACCTTTCTATCATAAGGACAACTTTCTGTGTAACCCATCATTCTTTCTGACTTGGGCAGGAACAAAATAAGATAAAATGGCACACACAAAATGATTGCTGGAGGCAGTGAGTAGCTTCTGGGGTTTGCTTTTCTTTAGAGCTCCACAAAAGGCAAAGGATGCCTAGATGAAGTGTTCTCTTTCCCATACTAGATTTTCTATCTTTTTGCTGTCTGTTTTCAGTATGATACTAAAAAATAATTGCTGTTCCACATGACAGTTTAGAACAACGTTCAGGGAGTTCTAGAAGGACAGAGTAATCTAGTGTTCTCTCTCAGCCTCCATCTTTGCATGGACAAGAGGACTAGCTCACAGAGCTAAGCTGGACAACAACACTAGCCTCAAGAACTTTGCAGTTGCTCTGGAAGAAGTCTGCATTGAGACCATTGAATCTGGCTTCATGACAAAGGATCTTGCTGCCTGTATCAAAGGGCTACCTAAGTAAGTGTATGAAGTAATTGGCTGTGCTTGGAGGAGGCTGTTTTATTTCATGTTTCTGAACAGCATTTGCTGCAAAGTTATTTTAGTATGGTGAAGAATTGCTGGAGTCTGGTCACAGAACAGGACTCATCTGTACCCAGTGCTGTACAAACAGAACGAGACACTCCCTGCCCCAAGTAGCTTGGTCTACACTGCTCTGGTCCCTGCTATTGTACCAAATGCATGGGGACAAAAATAAAGAAGAAACTGCAAAGATTTCTCTTATGACAGGCTGGCTGCATTGGCCAGATCCTGCCCTGTCCATTTATTAGAATGTAGAGCTACTTCACTGCAAAATACCACCTGCCTACCTCTTCTCCAGAGCCTTTTGGCAAAAAACATCAGCCTGATGAGTAGGAGATAACTTTCTTGGGTTTAGAAGCAAAACTTAGTTCTTCGAACAGTCTTCCCCTGCTTTGAGCATTTGAGTGGCTTTACAACTAACAGCTGTCTTGTTTTGTTTCGCCCCCCAGTGTCACACGCTCTGACTACCTGAACACCTTTGAGTTCATGGACAAGCTTGCTGAAAACTTGAAGGGGAAGCTGGCCTCTCTGCCCAAACTTTAAGGCATGGTTTCTACTCAAGCTCTGCTAACAAAGTGGCACTGTAATCAGAGTGTTGCGTAACATTTCAAATAATAGGAAAAAAATGAACATGTACACTTTTTTAAATGTTTAAAAGACCATGTTTTCTTAAACCTCTTGAACTGCTGGGCTAGGCCTTGCTTTTGCTAAGCAGCTGAATGTGATAGTATTCAAGCTCAATATGGGTCTGGATCCCTAATGTCATTCACAGCAGACCTGAGGTTTTTCTCCATGACTTTGATCTGTATTTCTCTTCTCTCTTCCCCTCAGACTGAAAGCCAGTCTGTGTCACAGCTCTGGTCAAACCAGTGGTGATTTACTGTCCAACAGACCTTGGAAATCAGAACCGTCCTCATCTCTCCAGTACTGTACACCGAGTATAAGTGAGCTCACAGGGCTACGCCAGCTCTACTGCAGCCCCTCTCTTACTAAATTTATCTTTTAGTGCCAACTGGAGCATAGTATCCTGATATTAAGGGATTTGGTCCCATTGCTACAGTCAGGACTAGCATTTGAGAAGAAGCACTTAGTAAATGCTGGAAACAAGCCCTATAGGCCAAGAGCCTAATAAAGCCATGCTGCAGCATCTAAATGCAGGCCATGCATTTAGTTATACTCCTTCTGACTGGATGTGAAGCATAGGAACTGTTACATCTTCCCCCACCCCACAATTCATAAAGGTGCAAAACTCTTCTCCTGCTCTCTGGGCTATTACTTACCCTTCCTGTTGTGATACAGCAAGTCAGATTGACTGTGAAAAATTATTCCATCCATGGTTTTGTGTTTGGGATTTTTTTAATGAATATTTTAGTTCAAACTAAAATAAAATCCAACTAACATTCTTTGTGTCTCTCCTTCCTTTGTGTGATTAACAGATACGGGGAAATTCTGCCTCAGAGAGTGACTCCAGTCCAGTACATTATGACAGCCTGTTGGAATGTGATATAAAGACAAAATAATCTCTCCCTTCTTAGAGTTTTAACTTTTTTTTTTTCCCCCTCTAGCTCAGGGCAAGATGTGATCTGTAGTGTGGCAGTAAGCATCAGGTAGTGCACAAGAACGTGGAGGTACCACTTCCCTTGAGGTTTTATTTTGGGACTAATATAAGCTCAAACTGATGTATCACCAGTGAACAAAAATCAGAAACTGGTTATACATGAGACAAACTCTCACCCTGCAGCTGACTAGCTGTAAGTGTTGTTTAGGATAGAAATGCAATGTTAGACTAGATCAGCTAGTATTAACATTTGTTTTGGGATAAGCATGCGTTTGAAATGCAGCTCTACAACTGCTAGCAACTGTTGCTGTGCCTTCAATATGAGAGAACACAGTAGTCTGCTTAATCTGTTATTAACACAATCATGTAAGAAGTGCAGCTTCTTAGAGGACTTTCTTTACAGGAAAAAGTCCCATTGCTGACCCATAGAAGCAATGGAAACAATCATCAGGAACATCCAGAGAGCTATGTTCCTGCCTGGCTTCTGACACCAGTAGTTCAAATTACAGTGCCACAGTCAGGCAGGTCATACAACAACAGCACCTCACATTCCCTGTTACTTACTAGCTCCTATCCAGCTTCCAGAGTTACAGAGTACCAGGGAAAGCTTAGTAGCTTTCAGGAAACTGAACAAATAAATAAAGGGGCATTTTTAAATATTACACTTTTTGTTTGTTTTAATGACTTAACAGTATAGCTTAAGTGTAAGCAATGTAGTATTTATTTGACTCAGATAACACTATTTTTCCTCTGTACTACCAAAGTTTCCATCTTCTGGAGGATTGCAGAATACAGCAAGACCTAATCTATCCTCATGAACTGACTGATGTTGCTGAAGTGCTGAGAAAGGAACACTTGTCTCCGCATTGGGAGAAGCAGCAGTAAGTGTGGTCATATGAACAGAGAGCATCCTTCTCCCTGCTCTGCTGGGGAGAAAGAGGAAACATATTTCCCACCTCCAAGGAGGCACATTCCCTTCCCCTTTACTACTAATATAATCACTTGTTTTCCTCACCACTCCCTCAAACATTTAATGTCAATAACCTTCAAAGTTAGACACCAGTAGCCCCTAAAAAAGCAAGTGCTAGAGGCCAGCGGGCACTCAGTCTGCAATGGAAAAGAGCACAGGATTTTCTGAAACACAGTTGTCTACTTCACAGTATACCAGCTGCTTCACAGAGCTCTTGGACAGGGCCCTTGTAGCTCCTACCACCCGTAACAGCCCTTTGCACCAACACTCCCATCAGCAGACCCCAGCAAAAGTTGGCTTCAATCAAGACAACTTGCCTTTAGTGCTGACACAGATGCAGTTAGATGTGTGCATCTCTGTCCTAGGTACTGCATGCTCAGGCCTGCTGGAAGGCTTAGTTTTCAATTCCATAGTTATGCAAATGCCCACTGACAGCAAATACAGTGAGAGGGGATATATCAGTTAACTGACATGGCTCCCCTCCAGAAGAGCAGAGAGCTCTGACTTCCAGGGCTGTGCAAGGCTTCAGTAGTCAACCCTAAGTGTGACTTCCCAGCAGACTGCTCTACCTGTGCAGAAGCCACCTTTTACAGGAGGTAATACTAAGTAGCATGAGAGCATGCCTCTTCTGCTTGCTGTCAAAGCCTGGGGTGCTGCAACCCTTTCAGCAGCTCTTGTGGGTATCTCTAGTGCCCAAGATCAGCTCTCCAAGGTGTACTCTCCCCAGGCTTGGCCAGCTAGCTGTCTGTGGTGCCACAGGCACTTGTGCGCAAAGCCTTTGCAGACAAGCACCCTAGCATTTAAAGGCAGAGGGGAATAAATGTCAAAAAACTTTTATACTGTCCACATAGGAGAATTTATTTATACTTTAAGATTAAAATAAAAAATAAGCTATGCGAAACATTAGAGATAATCTAGCAAAGACACACAAGCCCCTAGGAGGTTGGGGGCTGCCTGTTCAACCACTATTTTACTTCTGGCTCCATGTCTCTTGCCATTGTTATTAGCTTGCCTGCCTTAGCACTGGGACATCCTTCAGGAAGCCATTCTTTTTCCTCTTTGATGTTGTTGGTCATTTCTTTGGCTTTGGCAGTTTTCTTCTTTTTGGTTTTGTAGACAGGGGAGTGAAGGAACTCTGTGTTCGTAAATGGGTCACCCCGCCTCAGTTTCCTGGAGAACCAAAGGGGTTAGATTGAACCATCAAGGTATTTCTTGAATATGTGTATGATTTCAGTCTCTAAAGTTTCTAGTTTTTCTGAAATGCTTCCACTATAAGATGACTGAGTAGTACAGTTTGTTCCTTGACCAGTACAGGAACAGCTGTACCAGTATGGAGTGCCTTCTGACCTAGTATAACCAGCTCCTCACAGAAAGTCCAAACTGTGACGCTTTTCAGGGAAAAAACATAGTATTACCCAGTAGCATAACCACAAAGTCATCATTTTAGGAGTTAAATGGTTCTGTACAGTAGCCATTGGATGTACAGAATCTACTGTTTCTTAAGGAAAAGATGCAGCTACTTGCTTAGGTACTCATATCTGCCAGAAACAGCAAATATACAGCCTGCTCCTCAAAACCTAGCATTTCCTTCACTGAAACACAATTAAAATGGAAGTATTACTCAATTGTTGTATAAAACTTCAGATATCACAGAATGGCAGCAAGTGAAATCGGGGCTTTCACTTAGCTGTCTTTATTTAGCCTGTAGTTTATCCTCATGCTAATCCCTCATTAACACTGGAGTACCACAGGTGCAGTCTGCTAAGAGATGTGCTCATTTCAGTGAGGGAAATAACATCTTTGGTAGCTTGTTACCAGAAGCCTGCACATGCATCTGTGCTGATACGGAATTTTGGCTTAACCACACTGTGGTAGAAAAGGAGGGTCACAGAACACAAAGGGTAAGAGGAACTTAAAGACAAACAAAGTGACAGAGGGTCCAGCCCTGGAGCGTGAGCACATGAGAGCAGAGCGGGGGTTGCAGCATGGGAACAGTCATGGGAAGGACTAGTTTAAAGCCCAACCTGTTGAGTTTTGGCTCTGCATAGCAGGCTGGGTCCCGTCTCCGCCTGGATGAGCGCCCTGACACTTCTTCTGAGCTGGAGGAAGACGGAGTCCTGTCATTAGTCAAGTCCTGTAGTGGCCTGATCTCTGCAAAGGGAGACAGTCAAACATGAGGTGATCGCAGTGTTTACAAATGATTTCCAGATATCCTAAGAAGCTATACAGCTGCCAAATAGAGAACGGCTGCATTACCAGGTTTCTCCGAACGCTGCACAGTCCTGAATCAAATCATATTCCCTTTAAACTCAGGAGCCCATTTTTTGTCCAAAAATCCCAGACCTGCTCCTCAAAAGTCAGCTCATGAATCAAATTAGGTTCCTCACTGAATAAATAGAGGTCACTAATACTGCTAGTATCATTGGGCCCTGGTGTAGAAAATTGACACAAAAATGATAGTTGATAGTTCTAATGCCCAGAAACTTACAGCCTGGAGGAGAAAACAAGTTTATGGCACCCAATCACGACTTCCAGCAAAACACAGAACCCTTGCCAGTGTTTACTGCAGCATTTAAAGTGAAGTTGGCCAAAAGGGGAAAGGCAGGAAAACAAACTTCCTCCCTCTCTACAAAGTACAGACCATTCTAGCTTTAACAGGCCTGTTTGTCAACAGCTACAGGAAGGAAAAATCCCCAAAAACAACTCTCTTCACAGAGTATCCAATAACAGCAAGCTCCCAAAAAGGCTCAGCTTAACTACTGTATTACCAGCCAATGGATACACCCTCCAAACCCTTGTAAAAAAACAAACCAAAAAAAACACAACCAAGAGAATTTAGGTAGCTCCTGATGAATTTTCCACTGCAGATAATCACCTAGAGGAATAAAGTCTGAAACCTAGCAGCACTAACCATTCTGGACCAAAAACCTGCAGTCATCTTCATATTCTGTGCCCCAATAATGCTGACTCTAGTAGGCAGGGTCAGCATCGAATTATACTTTTCAACTGCTTGAGTAATTGATTTTCTAAATTGACAGGCATGCCCTGTAGATAACAAGAGTCGTAAAACAGCACTTGTAGCACATGCTCCTAGTCTTTTTCACAATATCCACACATGAACAAGTGACCAGAAATTCTTAGAGGAATGCTGATAAACTAGAAGCAAATGCAGCCACAGAAATGACTAGCCAGCACAAGTGGAAGCATAAATGGTGTACTGGACACTGATCTTTAACTCTGAAAAAAGAGAGGAGGTGAAGAAAAATATAAGCACTTGCTGCATGGATTGTTGG